TGTTCTGGAGTTATTCAGACTTCTTGGGTTAGAATTTCAGTCCTGCAATGATTTCTCTGTGTGACCATGGAAAATTACCTTACTTACAGGTGCCTCGTGCCTCTGTTGGTAAAATAGGCATAACAATGGTATAGTTTAGGTCGACTGTGAGGAATAAGTCAGCTAATGCACACAAATAGCTTAGAACAGAGTGTGGCACATAGTACAGACTACACAAGTATTGGTTCTTTGTTGCTATTACTGGATTCAAAATGAATGCAAAAATTCCAAAGAAACAAAAACAAAACCAAGACAGGTTGTTGTTTGTTTTATGACCCTGCATCATTGTGTAACAAGAACAGTTTTTCCAACCTTTGCTAAGTTCCAAGGCTACTCGGTTATCATATTCCCACAGTGGCAGTCTTATGAGGGTTGACAATCACAGGAGAACTGATTGGGCATTATGGTGCCTTATGTATAGTCATACTTTTTCACTGTAGAGCTTAACTTTTTCTATTTGGTTCCAAAAATCTTTAGGGGTACACAGTTTTTCTTTTGCTTCAGGCTCTGATATGGCTTGGCTCAGGCCCAAGTAAAGCTGATAGAACCGGCTGATGGTGTAGATGTGTGGTATAAGCAAAAGGAGGAATTAACGATGCTCCTAGGTTTGGACCTGAGCAAAAGGATGATTGGTGATGTCATCCTGATGGGTAACCTCGGGAGAGAGGAGACTTGGTGCATAAAAATCAAGTTTGACATACTGGTTAGATACGCCCATTGGGGATGTCAAATAACTCCTTTAGGTCTTCAGAAATCTCATTTCTGTCTACATGGCTGGCTGTTCTCCTCTTTACAGACCAGCTTTCTTGGCAAAGTTCTTAGAACTTACTTCCTGATGACTTTGGCATCATGGGTTTTGGTGCCATAGTTCTAATTTGGGCCACCGCAGTCTATAATCTCACCATTCAATGCCAGCTGACTGACTCATTCTTCAAGCTCAGTTTCAAATACTGGAGGGAGAGCCTGTCATGGCTCAGCCAGGGGAAGGTGTCCACCACAGCTCCCATCTACCACAGCTGGCACTCCATGCTGAGCACAGGGTAGGGCAACAAAGTTGGATGTGGCAGCAAATTTGACATTTCCTCAGGAAACCTTTTTCTGAACCCCAGGGGAACAGTTGGTTATCCTTCCTGCATACTCCTGCTGTTCCCGGAACTTTGTCCTTTCACAGGCAGTATTGTTATTGCCTGCTTCTTTTCTGTCTCCCTCACTAAACTTTTAGTATAGTCCTTGAGGCAGAGGCTCTGAACCCACAGGACCTAGGAGAAAGTAGATGCTCAATAAGTATTCTTTGAACGAATGAATGAATATGTGAGAAAAAAATACCTGCCGTGAAAGTGTGATCTCTCTTACTTGCTTGAGAGGAGCTTGTCATGATGAAGAAAGACGTGAATAACTGTCAAAACAACACAAAGCAAAGCAAACCAAACCACCACGAAAACAAAAAACCCTAGAGCAACGAAACATGTTTTAGAAAATACAATATGTTTTTAGAATTTTCTGTCCTGAAGGGTTAGATCTCACAATGGCTATTTGTTAGCATATTGTGTGCATGCGTGTGTGTGTATGTATGTATTTTGTATACAAATACATACATATATGCGTATTTTAACATAAAGTTAGAAAATGTTAGAGTTGGAAGGGATCTTAAGATTCTTTAGTTCAGCCTTTTATTTTCAGAAGACTAAGTCCCAGAGAGAATAAAGATGATTTGCTTAAGATTCCTATAACTCCACTCTTTGTTTTACTACATAGAGTCACTTTCTATTTAAAGTAATTATTCTTAACTTTTTCTGGGTCAAGGACCCAATATGAAAGAAATCTGTTGAGAACCATGAATCTTCTTTTTGTGGGAAAAGTGTACATAAGCATGTATGTAATAAATTGTCCCCCTGAATGTCAAGGGTTCCTTTTAAAACCCATAGATCCAAGGAATAGAGAATGGGTGGCTAACCAGAGTTAATCTCAGGCATTGATTTAAATGAATTCTTAATGGGATCACCCTGGGTATGTTACCCAACTTTTCTGAAAGATGGCAAACATCTTAAAGAGTTTTTGTGAGAGTAGTTGAGAAAATGTAAGTGCCTGCATGAGGGGGTACTAAAAAATGTTGGCCACATTTCAAAAGATATAAGATTTTAGGAGTTCTCAAAAGACTCTCAACAAGGCTCTCATATACAACATGCCTTGTATGTGGGGAACTAAACACAATAGGTATAGCTTGTTTTGCCCCTGGAGCATCTAGGTCAGGAGAATGAGTGCTAATTTCTTGGTGAGAGAGAGAAAGAAGAGGATGAAGGCAAGGAGAGCCTATGAAAAACCTTAGATAGCAGAAGTGTACAGAGTTAAGGAACAGGCATTTAGACTGGAACAGGAAGGCATCCTTGTCTCTGAGTCCGATTCCCTGAGCAGGAATCATTTAATATTTGAATTCTGGCCGGGCGTGGTGGCTCATGACTTAATGCCAGCACTTTGGGAAGCTTGAGGCCAGTGGATCATTTGAGGTCAGGAGTTCAAGACCAGTCTGGCCGACATGGTGAAAAGCCATCTGTACTAAAAATAAAAAATTAGCAGGATGTGGTGATGGACTCCTGTAATCCCAGCTACTCAGGAGGCTGAAGTAGGAGAATCACTTGCTTTTAGCAGACGGAGGTTGCAGTGAGCGGAGGTTGCAGTGAGCCAAGATCGCACCACTGCACTCCAGCCTGGGTGACTGAGACTCTGTCACAAAAAATAAAAATAAAAATAAATTAAAATCAAATTCCCACCAGGGGAGGAAAGGAGCCATCCGGTAATCACTGTACTAATTCTATGCCTCTGTGCACCCAAACATCTCATGGCTGGATTTGCTTTATTTGTCTGAACTTCCCAGCAGGAGAAATTTAGATCTGGCTACTGAAATTGCTGGAAGCAGACTCATCAGGACAGGAAGGAAATGACTGTTCCATCCCTGCAAATTGACTACTCAGTGAAAGAGGCTAAGTTTAAAGACGCTCATGGCCGTCCCACTACCCTCCCTAATATAAAATGGCAGCAGCTGGGGCTCCAGACTTGTTGAGTTGAAGCTTTTTCCAATGAAAAACTTGTCTAAATCGTCTTGCTCATTACCTTGAGGTGTGTGCGTGTATCAACTCCGACATCATCTTTCTACCTCAAATTGGGACAATGCAAGCACATTTCAGGGCACAGAAGAGGCACCCAGTGAATATGATGGATATGATATTTCTCTTGTTCCCGTCTTTATCTTTCATTCTGTCCTTTCTTTGGGAGAACGATAAAGTAAAGATCTTATGAAATCCTTTCAACCTCCTAAGGAACAGGAAAGCTGATGGGCGGTGCCGGGGTATGGTAACCACGACCCCCCACTCTTATGCTTAACTTAAAAGATAAGTGCCATCCTTGCCCCTGTCACCAAAGCCACCTGACAAGTTCTGGGAGTGCCTGGCAGCTTTTGGAAGGGGGTACGCGGGAAGGGGCGTCGGGGACAGAAGATGGGGGCCAGGTGCTTCGCGCCGCGGCCTGCAGGGAGGAGGCGCTGCGAAGACCCCCGCCCAGGTCAGGCGCTCTCTGCTGCCCCCCGCGGAGGCGCCCGGGCCCCAGCCCCGGCCCCCCCAGCGGCTCCTCGGGAATGCTGGGAATGTGAGTCAGGGCCTCCGCGAGCGGGCGAGCGCGCGGGCCGGCCGGGTGGGAGCCCCGCCGAGCGCAGCTGCTGGCGGCGCCGCGCGAGCGCGCGTCTCGGGACTGCGGCGGGTGCCGCCCCCTCGGCCGCCGGCCCCGCCCGGCCCCGCGCCCGGCCCCGGCCCTCCGAGCGGTGTCCTCCTCCTTCCCTCCTTCCCTCCCCGTTCCCCGCCCCGGTTCTCCTCTTTCTCCTCCTCCCGCTCCTGCTCGCTCGGTCTCCGGCTCCGGCACCGGCTCCTGCTCCTCCTGGCCGCCCGGGGCCAAGGCGACGTGAGGTTGTAAAAATCCATGTGGGACGGCCCCCGGGCGAACATCGGAAAGGTGAGACGCCGACGCCGGGGCCGCCTGGTGCCCGGCTCCCTCCGGGCGCCCGTGCCCGGGCAGCCCTCGTGCCGGTCCCGCTCGCTCGTGGGGAGCTGCAATGCGTTATCGTGGGGAGCCTAGGGGTGAACCATCCGCCTCCTCCGGGGCTTTCTCGGGCGCGGGGAGGGATGGGGCGGCCTAAAGGAGGATTTGCCTTGATGTATAAACCCCCGGATTGGAACAAGTGCACGGTTTCCTCTGGCGCGCGGGCGCCGCTCGCTCGTCCCGGCGGCCCGGGCCACCTCCCGCAGTCCCTCTCCGGCAGCCACCCTCACTGCCATCGCCTTTCTTCCCTCAGACCCCGCTCTTTTGCCTGGCGTCCCCTCTTGCTTCGAGGGGTGGGGTGTTCGCGGGGGCGGGGGTCTTGAGCAACCCCAAGCAGAACAAAGTGGAGAAAGGTGGAGCCCCAGCCCAGGGGGTGGGGTGGCTGGCTGCCTGGGTGGGCTCCGAGGGGAACATGTTTTTTTAAAAAAACCCTTGTCAGGGAAAATGAAGCCGATTTATCGGGGAGGGCTAGGAGATGGTGTATGAAAAGGAATACGATGTGAAATTGAACTGAACGGCATCATTTCTTCCCTCCTCCTTCCCATCTCCTACTTATACAAAAAAGAGATACTTACGAAGGTGTACCTAATTTAAAAAATTAGCGTACGAGCCTTTGAAAGATCATCTTAGGACAGTGAAGATTAAGGGCTGCTTTGGTTCGGGGTAATAAAACAGCTCTCGTAAACTCTCCTTTCGGCCCTGCCTTATTTATTTTGTAGTTAAGGGTCTCTGTTCTCCTTGCCAGAGAGGGAGGGTCCGCTCTTTTAGGAGTGAATCGATTTTAGGCTGCTACCTGCCTTTGCTGGATGAAAGGCAATTTACTCCAGGAGCAGTGAATTGTCAGTTCCCTCTGTGATTGACAGCCACACCTGCCACTTAAGTGGGTAGAATGGGGACCGGTGGAACCCAAAGAGCCAATCAATGCTCGGGAGAGGAGGGCAGCTCCCACTTGTCATGGTTAGTTTCCTGGTTGGCTCTTTAAATCAGTGGTTTTACTTAACCATTGATTTCCACCAGGTATGGGGATCCAGCTGTGAGAGGCAGACGAACGCGAAGAAAACTCTTTGAAAATGGGCTTTTAGAAGCAAGTATATTTGACCTGTGTTTCCTTGTCCTCCCCATCCCCTACCCTCCACCCCCTGATTATTAGTTGTAGTAGTTGTGGATGCCGAGGCCATTGGCTTAAAACGAAAATGAAATGAATCTGTGTAAAGAATGAATGGGGGGAAGGGGTGTTAGAATGGCCCACCTATTTCTCCAGAATTGCAGTCTTTATAACAGATACCATGTACCGTTGAGCTATCCGGGAAAAGGGTGTGGCACTTTGTCTCCTATGGTCACTCTTGTCCTTGTGAAGTCACATTGTTCCTCAGTATACAGTACTTGGGTCTTGGCTCTACTGGATGGATTTATAAAATATTTTTGAAGCCGGCAAACGTTCTTTATGGGAAGTCACATGAATAGAAGGGATTCGTTTAGTTCTGACAGTTAACTCAACTTCTGGAAGTGAGGGCTGCCTTGTTCTCTTTTGCAGAGTGTCAGTTTGGTGGTGGTGGTGGGGTCAAGCCGTTTTCTTTCCAAGGAGTAGTAGAGTTTGCCTTTTTCTCGTGTAAGCCATCTTGTCTGTTTGCTTCTGTGCTTTAATAAGATACTTCTGCAGTTTTAGCAGGGAGGGGAACGGAAGGTGATGGTGTCATGGTTTTTACCAGCAAGACTTTCATGGGTGGATAAATCATGGGTGAAGGACCAGATCCTTCTCAACTCACTGCTAGTGAATGGCTGATTTTTCAGCACCCTTCTCCCTGAATTCATTAGCAAAATTACTGACTGATCCAAAGAATGGTCACTTTATAGAAGCTGTACCTGGATGTGAACATAATGCTGTGAATTAAGCATTTCATAAATAGACTGTGAGCCAGAATATACTGATTAGGATGGTTTTCATGTAGAAGCCAGGTTTTTAAGGCAGTATTATTACTATTATCACCATCATTATTATTGCATATGCAAGCACTTTGCTGGGTACTTTATATGCATTATCTTTTTTAAACCTTGTAGAGCCCCTGTGAGGTAGGTACTATTGTTATAAATATCTTGCTACAGTTTAGTATGAAAGCAAGAACCTGAGCTCAGGTTTGTCTTACCCAGAGCCCATGACCTTGGCCATGGCCTTGACTTCAAATTTTGGTTGTGTAGTCTGCACGTGTCCAGTCTGAAGGTGTGGGTTCTCCCGACATACATAGAGCTAACCCTTTTGAGAGCCCACTGTGATTCTGACAGTCCTTTTGTTAACCTGTTTTGCCTTTCCATTTGAAGGCTGTGGCATGGGCCAATAGGCAAATTTAGTAACTTTGTTTACTATATGTTTCCAGTAGATCAATTTTGGCTCAATAGAAACTTAGTTCCAAATTTGATGACTTAAAAGAAGGTAAAACAAAACAAAATTCACACTCTTCCATTTTTCTTGACACCTTAAATTTCCAACTGGAGCTCTAAATAGATCTTGGTTGAATAAATGCTCTTAACCTCATTCAATTTGTCTCCTCACCAAGGGATTAGAGTTTTATTTTCTTTGTTATTTACAGAGACCGTTTCTATTAGTGATTAGATATGACATTTATTCTTTTGTAATATCATGGTCCTCTTATTTTATTTTTGAAATGGTGTCTTGCTCTGTTACTCAGGCTGTAGTGCAGTGGTACAATCTTGGCTCACTGCAACCACCCCTGGGTACAAGTGATTCTCCTGCCTTAGCCTCCCAAGTAGCTGGGATTACAGGCACCTGCCACCATGCCTGGCTAATCTCTGTAGTTTTAGTAGAGATGAGGTTTCACCATGTTGGCCAAGCTGGTCTCGAACTCCTGACCTCGGGTGATCTGCCTGCCTTAGCTTCCCAAAATGCTGGCATTATAGGTGTGAGCCACGGTGCCCAGCCCCTCTTGCTTTATTATGTTGGAAAACCTACAAGATATAAGCCTTATCAGTCTCTTTCCATTGGTGAAACTCAGTGGTGAAGGTTTGCCAAAACAGGTATCCTGATAAATAGAGTGAATGGTGTTGGAGTCCACAAATTTACCTACAGAGTTTTTGACTTTGGTTAGGTTGACTTTTGTACAATCTGCATTTGTTTGTTTTACTAGGACATCCTCTAGCCTTTTTTTTTGTTTTGTTTTTAAAATCTGCTAACCAGTTAACATTTTGGCTAGTCCATGGGACACCTGCTTGCTAGCCAACAGTTTCAGTTTCAGCAGTGTTTGTGCTGTTTATATTTTATTGTAATTTTCTTAGTTTAGAAAGATAGGATGAATGGAAAACACAAAAAATCACCAATATTCATGATAATATAGGTCTCATAAATTTAAAACAGTTGATCCAAAGGTAGGAATCACTGGATGTACAAAACATGGAGATTTTTCAGCCTGTTGTTTCTTTTGTGAAGGAAGGGAACAAAATGAATGAACATATAAGACATGCTAACATATATCAAATGTTAAGATATATTAGTGAGCTTTGGCAGTGTAACAAAACTCCCTGACTTACAGCAACAGGTATTTATTTTCACACTCATGGGTCTTCGGGTTGACCGTGATTTGGCTGGTTTAGGCTGGTCTCCTTGGGGTGGCTCTGCTGAGGCTGTGGGGTGGGTTCCAGTCTGCTCCACATGTGTCCTGGGGCCCAGGCTGCAGGGATGGCAGCTACTTGGCACACGCCCTTCTCCTGGCAGATCACTGGAGCCAAGAGGCAAATGGCACAAGCAAATGTCACTTCAAGTGACAACCTATTTTGGACAAAGCAAGTCACATGGGAAAGCCCAACACTTGTGTGTAAAAGTAGATTCTGTTCACAGTAGGGGAGCGAATATTTGATGAACTGTCATTTAGATTCCCACAGCATGTAAAAGTTATGATTAGAAGATTTTCTAATTTTTTATTTTTCTTGGGGAATGTAATTTTCATCCCCTCACTGCCAGCACTAGCTGTGTGACATATAAACCTGGTCCTTAACTTCTGCATTTCAGGATCAAACATATACCATGTTTGATTTTAGAGGGCTGGCTGTAAAGCAGGTTGGTGTATACACATGAATTACTTAAATTATTAAGGCACTATTTATTAGGACTTACTGTGTTCCAAGAGACAATGTTCAGTGCAGTGTTGAACACAGTTTTTATCTAATGTGGGTTCTGCCATTATAAAACTTATTAGGAATAGAGGTAAGGAAGGACTTCTTGGATGCAATGACATTTTCCTGGACCTTCAAGCAGGGAGAGAGTTGGAGATGCAGACAGAGCAGTGGATGCCATAAAAATATTGGGGGACACATGGATATAATGAGTTATTCCACTTGGCCAGAGAGTAAGAAAGGTGGATAACAGCAACATTAATAATTATAACAGTAGTATTTACAGCTTAACTTCTGTTGGGCAGTTAACTATGTGCTAGGCACTGTGCCTAGCACTTTCCATAAAATATCTAATTTAATATTGGGTAGGCATTGCTGGTTGCCTACCCAACATTCATTTTCTCCTTTCTAACTAAAAGAACCCCAATTTTGTTTGAGATGGAAATAAGCCCACCTCACCTTCCCAAGACTCCCTTGCACTTGGAGTAGCCATGAGAGTTGGGTCTGATAATGACAGGTGGAAGTTGTTGGGTGGAGGCTTTCCTGAAAATGTAGTGAGTGGGGCACACCTGGCTGGTATACTCCAAGAGCTTTTCAGCCCTTTCTGCTTCTTGCTGCTGGGATCATCCGTGCAATGCCTAGAAGGGCAGCAGCCAACTACAGCAATGAAGATAAAGCCATGGTTTTTGTTTTGTTTGCTTTTGAAACAGGGCCTCACTCTATCACCCAGGCTGGAGTGCAGTGGGATGATCTCAGTTCATTGCAGACTTGACTTCCCCAATTCAAGTGATCCTGCCACCTCAGCCTTCTGAGTAGCTGGGACTACAGGTGGGCACTACCATGCCTGACTAATTTTTGTATACTTTTGTAAAGATAAGGTTTCCCCATGTTGCTCAGTCTGGTCTTGAACTTCTGGGATCAAGTGATCTGCCTGCCTTGTCCTCTCAAAGTGCTGGGATTACGGGTGTGGGCCATTATGCTCAGCCAAAATCATGTTTTACAAATGGCAAAGCTGGAGTCTGGAAGAATTTTGGTCTTGGTGACATTGTTAATTCATTGTACCAGCCTAGACTGCTTTCCAGTGGTCTTCTTATTGCATAAAACAAAAAAGCTCTTTACTTGTAAGCCACTACTTATTACTTGCAGCCACACATATTCCTCACTAATACACACCTTCTCAAGAGCACTATCAAAGTAGATGCTGTCATACCTATTTTGCAGGTGAGAACATTAGAGGGGTTAAGCACTTGCAGGTGAGAACATTAGCGGGGTTAAGGACTTGCCTAACCAGTAAGTGGAAGCACTGGGGGTTCAAAACAATGTCATTTTGACTTCAGGCTCATCATCTTGCCTCTGGCTGAGCAGGAAAAGTACCGTGGTGGAGATAATTTGGCAAATTAGGCTGGAGTAAGACTGAGGGGGCACCTGGATTCCTGGTTGAAATATTTGAGTTTGATTTCATGGGCTAGTGACTATAAAGCCACTGCAAAAGACAGAGACCAGAGGTTGGGAGAGCATTGAGGGCTGAGTGCCTAACACATGCTTTAGTGTGAGTGAAGGTAGAGGGAAAACTGGGCACGAAGCAGAGCTGAGGACATGAGAAGATAATGGAATTGAGTGAACCCAAATCATAGTTGGCTGTTAACCTATAATCATGTAAGAACAAAATGAAAGTCTCCTGAAGGCTAGTATTCACTTCTACTGATGGCTTCACATTTGCCTGCAAGTAGGGAATGAGTAATATAGAGAATTGCTAATGGGATATGAATCACTATTTAATGCTGGGGGGTGGGATCTTCTACTCTTGTCGATACCATTTATTGAGCCCTTGACGACTTTGTATTACATGACTTTGGTCTGGGTCTGGCTCCACTGTGCTGGTGAAAGGTAGGAGACATGAAAGATAAGGTCAGAAGGTGTGCAGTGGTACATTAGATTCTGTCCATGGACTTATTTCTGCTA